TAAAATCAGGGGTTCGATTCCATTTTGTGGACACAGCAGATGGCCCAATGTGGCTTTGCTCTAAGAAAATACACTCAATCGACAACGCAGCAGATCAAAAACATGGAGTACCCTAGAAAGGGTACAGTACCTGAGTTTGCAGCATATAAAAATAACTCATTTTCCAATATTTTTATTCTAGATTAACACCTTTTAACTCTGAGTGGAAGGGCACAATGTGTCGATATGAATTACAGCAGTTAATATTTTCTACGTCTAGCCAGTGTTAACATGGAACAAAGATTTAAAGTAATCTCGATTTCTCCACAACGACCTCTAAAAGCGGTTAAAACTACAAATATAACACATTTAGGTAACTAGTTTTTAACTTATTTGTTTTATTGTAAACACCGAATAATTATTATTTATTTACAAACTCCTATATGTAACTGATTTTTCGTTTATCTAAGTTGCTTGTGTAAAATTGAATTACATTTGTCTTGTTTTACCATAATAATAATAATAACGAAGAATGACATATGTAGACCAAGTAAAAAAAAAATGTATCAGTCAATACATTGTTACTAAATGTTATCAACCCCTATGTCGCGAGACAAACTACAGACAGAAAAAAACTGTCATTCAACAACTGTTATCCTTATGGTAGTCGGCAGGACAGGTGTTTCATGATGGCTCAGCGATAAGCTCGAGGCCTCATAACGCTAAATGTCAGGGTTCGATCTCCACACCGGACACAGCTAAAACAAGCAATCGATACAACAGGTGGTGAGCCTATTCCTGCAACTGGAAAATATTTTGTGAAATAGCCGTAACATCTATCAGAGAAATCATTCCGCTTAACGTGTATATAAGTTGCACACACAAAGACCATTACCTTCAGTAAACTGTCGCAAATATAGGAACTTCAGGAAGATATAAAACGCTGACGAAAATCACGTTAAATCGATTGGTTTATTTTGAATTTCGCGCCAACTACACGACGGCTATCTGAGCTAACCATCCCTAATTTAGCAGTGAAAGACTAGAGGGAAGGCAGCTAGTCATCACCACCCACCGCCAACTCTTGGGCTACTTTTTTACCAACAAATAGTGGGGACCCCCCCAGTGGCACAGCGACATGTCTGCGGAGTTACAATGCTAGAAACCGGGTTTCGATACCAGTGATTGGCAGAGCACAGATAGCCCATTGTGTAGTTTTGTGCTTAACTTCAAATAAAACAAACGAATAGTGGGATTGACTGTCACATTATAACGCCCCCACGGCTGAGCATGTTTGGTGAGACGGGGATTCGAACCCGCGACCCTCAATTTGCGACTCAAGCGCCCCAACTACCTGGCCATGCACGTTATATCGAGCTGTTTCTGTTTATTTGTATAGCCCCACCCAGTGGCACAGCGGACTTACAACGCTAGAAACCGAGTTTCGATACCCGTAGTGGGCAAAGCACAGATAGTTATATATTGCCCATTGTGTAGCTTTGTGTTTAACTTCAAACTAACACATTATTTGTATAAGGCCCCCCCCCATCTCTCCCTTAGTTCATTGTGGATTTTAAACCAGTAATGTGTAAACAACAAAAAACATTTCAGGAATGGAATATCCTTTGTTTTGAAGAAAAGTAGGTTTTCCTTCCACTCCAAATTTCAATGACTAGGTTAGGCCTATGGCAGTCAAAAGCCTACCTACATTAATATTTATATGAAGTACAGTAATCAAAACTTTTAGCCGATATTGGCTTTTTAAGTCATGGAAACAAACTAAATTATAAAATTCACACACATCTAAACAACGAACAAATATTTCATGGAAATTTGATCATCGGATCAGATAATTTTTTGAGGGGGAGGAAGAAAAGAAAAGCAACCAATCCTGCTTCCCCTCAACTTTTTGGAGCTTATGATTTGCTTATAAATAAACCATATCAAAACTATTCTTTCGAGAGGGAAATAAGAAATATTGGGGTATTTGTAACCCATTTTTTATATATAATCAAATTAGGCTAAAACGTTTTCGGGTATATTTGTAGTTAAGCACAAAGCTACACAATGGGATATCTATGCTGTGGCAAACACGAGTATCAAAACCTGATTTTTAGCGTTATAAGTCCGCAGACTTACCGCTATGCCACTGAGAGGCATAAGGACGTAGAGGTCAAATTGGCGCCCATTCCTTGAAGACGCGCCTTTCTATCATTGCAAGCTGTTTCCACTGACGACACATGATCAGGATATGTAAAAACTGGTTGACACTCTTTGGACTACTTCCATATTTGTATCAGTTTTATGACACGAATAAGTGAAATAACCATGACAGTGTTAACCATCATGATATATAACTGTAAACGGATGATACATTGAACATTTCTCAACGTCACGTCTCACATATTTCCCTTACTAAAAAACGTTCAACTTTTCTCGCTCAAATAAACGGTTTTCAAAGATCACCGAGCTTTTTAAATACAATGGTTTGATATCCAGTCCAAACATTGATGTAAAACGGTGACAACTTTACTTCTCTTAGTCATTAAAACAGAAAGCCAGAGAATCTTTTATGTTACTGGTGTATTTGTATAAGTTATTCTTGGCAAGTGTGTTATTCGGAGACCATAAGACTTGATTTAAACTCTTTAGCGTGCTTCATACACCGTCTAAACTTTAATAGTTCCCTCTTTCTTACTTTTTTATTTTCATTTAATTCCTGTTTTATCGTTTACTCGAACTTTTAACTTTAATAAAATGCTGAACTATTGAAGCACGGCAGTTTTTATTATATATATATATATATATACTGAGATCTAAAGATTACACGGGCGTACGATGG